AGTTTTACAGTTTATTTATTTATTTGTTTATTTACTTACTTATTTATTTATTTTTAATGTGTTTATTATATTTTTTCAGAAAATGTCATTCTGCACCCCCCCTCCAACATTTCACAACTTCCAGATATTTAGTGATCACCTGCAGCCTCTGGCTGTGCAGGAGGGAAGTCTTTACCTGAGGAAACCATGCAGCAGTCTGGCACTTCCTCCTCCGCCCTCTGTGCTCAGGTGTGTACAGGTGAGAGAAGACTGACCTGCTTGTTTTCATCCAGCCGAGAAGCTCCTTGGATCGGAGGAAAGGTAACTACGCTAAACCCCTCTCTGTTGTCTCTTTTATATATCCTCCTTCTTTTAGTTCCTGGGTTAATGGGTTTTAGSTTAATTGTATCCGGTTTATTCTCTTTGCTTTAGTCAAACCAGAGCGAAACAACGGTGGGGGCAGATTTGGAGTTTTGCTCCCACAAAAGCCCCGCAGAAAGCTGAACTTAGTTGGTGCTCAAATGTTTTACAGAAGATGGTTGTGCGTCAGGTGCGGGTGGTCCGCGGGTCCTGAGAAATGCAGGAACTCCCTCCAAATTAAAACGCGTAGCGTGCCAAGACGTCTTTGTTGGTTTTTTTAGAGGAGGGCGCAGCAGCCCTGCAGGTGCCGGGTGGTGTCAGCCTGCAGCTCCTGAAGGGAGCTAGGAGGAGGTGTTCCAATTAAAAAGTGCTCCGTTTCGGTTTGACTCGCTGGAGCGCGAGCAGGTGTTCCAGATGGGCAGAGATCGATCTCCGGCTCGGCGATGCTCCAGCTGRAGGAGGAGGATGCGTTCAAGCTCTGTAGGAATTAACAGCAGCTTTAAAAAAAAAAAACCCGAGCAGATGTCTCATTTCTAGAGTTTGATGATCAGTCACAGTGCTTCTTTGTGCAGAAACTGTTGTCTATTCCAGAAGACCTATAAGCCTAAACATGTCTTAATAGATCCGATTTTAAAGAAATTATTGTGTTTAAATATAAGTAGCTAATAGAATGAAAACTAAACAGACTCTGTTGGCTGATCTTTCTGTAGGTGAGTGTTTTTGTTGTTGTCTTTTTCACTTTGGACTCCCACCTGCAGGTTAGGTTTAAGGTTGGTGCCAGGGGTCAGAGGTTAAGMGAGGGAACATGACAAGAGATTTATAAACAGCTTTCACAGATGGTGTTGATGTTAATAATCTTAATACCTGTCTGGATTAAATTATGCCCATTGTCAAAGCACGAGGCTTATCTGAGAGTCCATGAAACTTAGATACTTAGTGACACAAACTGTAAAAATACAAAGTGACAAAATTAACATTGGCAACATTACTGTATGATCCCGCTGTCAGCTCTCCATTTTTGAGTCAGTCTTTTTATATTTTTAAAGACATTTTTTTCATAAACCCTCATCAAACTGTGTAACATGAGTTTCTGTTTGTTTGTAGATTGGTTTTCTTATGTCCATTCTAATTCAATGATTGTTTTGGTTCACAGTACCATTTCCTTTATGCATTACAGTCAGTTTCCGTTCTGCTTTGATCATCAGTTTACACTTGAGTTCTCTGTGGATGTATTTAAGCCTCTTTTTGTTTTTGCTCCTCTTTGGATGACCGTGCCTCGGTTCTGTTATTACTGGAGCTCTCCTAAGTTTTGGATTTCCTGCCCTGCAGCACCTTTTGGTTATTAAACTTCTTTAATCGGTTTAATTTGCCTGTTTCCTGCTGGGCGATGCAGCGCTTTGGGTCATCTGTGTTCACCACCACTTTCCCTTTAAAAAAACAAACTAAAAAAAAACATATTGAAGTTTTACTTGCACTTTATGTGGGCTCATCATATTTGACACAGCAGTGTGTTTGAGTTAATAAAGCTGATAAAAACATGTTAGTTAAACTTTCTGATTAAGCAAGAAATTTCTCCAGTTTACCTAGAACTTTCCTTTTTTAAACTTTTATTTACCAAACAGGCCCGGTTGCCAGCAGGCTGCATGCACAGAACAACTACTCTGTGAAAACTCAAGACTCTTCCAGTAAATCAGCTCCCAGAGCTCTGTGCGATTAATGCAAAACAAGCTCTGAATCGAATGCAAACACTGTCCTCACATGTTGGATCACACGGCTGCAGACGTGTCATAGGTCAGCTTTGCATGCCCTCCTCGACTGAAAGCAGAGGAGTCAGAGMTCTCAGCATCAAACTGTGAGAAGTTTACACTCAAACACATCAAAAAGGACAAATCTGTTTGATTTCTTTTTATTAAAGTTTTTCTTTTCTTTTGAAGCTGCAAAATCATCCCCTGTGGTGTGAGATGAAGTGCTTCAACACACTTTAGTCACGTATTTGATTTTTTTCTGATTTGTTTTTAATGGTTTTGTCTCAAAAAACAAATAATAATAATAATAATAAAATGCCACGTTTATGCCTTTTTTAAATCGAATTTGGTTGGTTTATCGAAAAGCTTAAAACCAGTGAATTCGTTTGGGTTTCCACTCAGTGTTGACAGGTGCTTACATGAAGTGAGACGTTGGCAGGAAGCGGTTGTCGCTTTTCCTGTGGGATTTGAACGCAGCACGTGTTCTCTTCTCAGCGCCTCCTCGTTTCTTTTTCTGTTTTTCTTTTTACGCGTCGTGTCATTTATTATTTTATTTTATTTCCTCCAACGGTGAGCAGCCGCTCCGCGCGCCCATCAGAGGCGTTCTGACATAACGCATCCCCTCAGCTGATGATGTGAGCTGGGCTTCATTCCCTAGAAGGACCCCCACTT